GTCTTAAAGGCTTGAAGGTAAACAAGCGGCCATCTAGCTCAGAAGCAACAAAGCCCACATGGAAGAAGCACCCCAGCCAGTGCGATCATGAGTTGTTGAAAGGATCAGGTATCAGGCATCATCAGAACAAAAAATCTTACCATAGTGAATGAGGGGGGGAGTGTGGATTGGAGACCCAAAGCTCATTTGTAGGCCACTGGATATCCCCTAACAGAAGGGTTTTGGGGAGGAGACAAACCAGTCAGGGTGTGATGTAGCAACGATGAAAAATACAACTTTCCTCTAGTTCCGAAATGCTTCCCTGCCTCCCTTCCCCCACCACTATCATGATCCCAATTCTACCTTGCAAGTCTGGCTAGACCAGAGGATGTACACTGGTACAGATAGGAACTGGAAACACAGGGAATTCAGGGTGGATGATCCCTTCAGGACCAGTGGTGTGAGTGGTGATACTGGGAGGGTGGAGGGAGGGTGGGTTGGAAAGGGGTAACCAATTATAAGGATCTACATGTGAGATCCTCTCTGGGGGACAGACAATAGAGAAGTGGGTGAAGGGAGACATTGGACAGGGCAAGATATGACAAAATAATAATTTATAAATTATCAAAGGTTCAGGAGAGAGCGGGGAGCGGGGAAGGAGGAAAAAAAATGAGGAGCTGATGACGGGGCTTAAGTGGAGAGCAAGTGTTTTGAGAATGATGAGGGCAATGAATGTACAAATGTGCTTTACACAATTGATGTGTGTATGGATTGTGATAAGAGTTGTATGAGCACCTAATAAAACAATTTAAAAAAAGAATAATGAACTCACACACAAAAATAAAGTAGTCTAAAATTGATTGTGTGGATAATTATAGGGTTCTTTTTAATATGATTGAACAATTGGATTGTATATCAATAAAACTGTGAAAATAAATAAATAATAGAATAAAAATAAATAATATAAAAGAAAAAAAAGTGGTTTAAGTATGAAGAAAAAAAATAATGCCCCTTAATGCATACCTTTTAAATTTTGATACATTCCTCTTTTTTCTTTCCTTTGTATCTTGTCCTTTCCTCAGCACCCTTTTTACATATAAAGGAACTGAGGTTCAGGAGAGGATATGGTCAAGATCAAAGTTTGGAGATAATGACATCAGGATTGAGGGCAGAGAGAAACAACCTCCAAGCCTGTGCTCTTAACCACTGTACATTCTTCCTTCTCTAGACTGCAGGCCTACGTCTGTCTCTTCCAGTGGGCTCAGGCTCTCGGACTAGACCCTGCCTTTCTCTTGCATCACTGCATGGTCACGTCTGGAAGTGTTTGGTACTTAGTAAGTTTCTCCAACGTGTGTTAAATGAGTGTGGTTGAATGTCAGCGAAGAAATATTTTGGACCAATCACTCTTCGAATAGATCTTTGGTATAGAATGTGGAGCATTCTTATTAAAAAAATATCCTTAGCAGATAGAGGAAAGAACTAGGAGGTAAAGGTCATTTATAGAGGTCTAAATACAGGCATGTACATATGTAAATATATTTGTATATAACGATAGGGAAATATGTGGGAAACAAAGATTTCTCCCAAGTTGTCTCCCCCAAATATATGCCAAACTTAGCTACTTGCTACACACAGCAAATGACTACACTTGGAGGTCAATGAAAGTAGGTCAGAGGTTATTCTCCCTAAGGACTAGTCGCAATCAGACTGTATAGTCTGTCCCACCCCAAGTAGGGCCCACTCCCTTCTGATAAGGACAGTAGATTCTTTCCCTGAAGGAGAACCCAGGGAGGTCAAGCCTACTCAAGGGTGGCCACGGTTAGGTTGCTATAATGAATCTAGGGTCCGCCCTTCTTGTCACATGCATACCCACCCTAGTCCCTCCCTTTCCTATTGTGTGTACACCCTAGCTCATCCCCTTCCTGTTATGCTTATGCTCATTGTATATCCCCCTCCTATTGTATTGCCTATAGTACAACCCCTTCCTGTGCCGTGTGTCTTTACCTGTAATTAGGAGACATGCACACCCCCAAAGATATATAAGCCTTGGTTAGCAATAAATTGCTCTCCTACCCTGCACCACCAAGAGGAGCTACCATGAAATGTGTCTGACTCCATTATTTCAATCTCTCTTGTTCTCTATGACTTTACTATAATATTTACTTACAGTATCATCGCTGTACAATTGCACCTACCAGACCTGTGATGATTTGTTAGGGGCAGGCTCCCTTGACATAAATAGATCTATGTACATATATTTATATGCTAATTATCAAGGTAGCAGATGGACATTGGGCCTCTAATCAAGTAATCCCTCAACATAAGAACACTTTGTTCTAATAACCTGGCATTCCGTGATGCTCACTGACATGATCGCTGAAGACAAAATGGGTGCATGACAAATGGGAAGAAAGCTGATAAAAAAACATAGCATCTGGGGTCTTAAAGGCTTGAAAATATATAAGTGGCCATCTAGCTAAGAACTAACCAAGTCCACATGGAAGAAGCATACCAGCCTGTGTGATCATGAGGTGTCGATATGATCAGGTATCTGACATCAAAGACCCAGAACAAAAAATCATATCAAAGTGAATGAGGATGAGGACGGAGTAGCGACCTAAAGTCCTTATGTAAACAATTGGACATCCCCTTAAAGAAGGATCTAAGGAAGAGACAAGCCAGTCAGGGTGCAGTATAGCACCAATGAAACATGCAACTTTCCTCTAGTTCTTTAATGCTTCCTTGCCCCCACTATCATGATCTCAATTCTACCTTGCAAATCCGGCTAGACCAGAGCATGTACATGGGCACGAATAAGAGCTGAATAAGCCACTCAGTACCAATAATGAGAGCATCGATACCAGGAGGGTAAGAGGAAGGTGGGGAGAGAAAGGGGGAACTGATCACAATGACCTACATAACCAACCCCCTCCCAGAGGGACTGACGACAGAAAAGTGGGTGAATGGAGACATTGGTCAGTATAAGACATGAAAAAATATTAACAATTTATAAGTTATCAAAGGTTTGTGAGGGAGGGGCACATGAGCTGATACCAAGGGCTCAAATAGAAAGAAAATGCTTTGAAAATGATAACAAATATACAAATGTGCTGGACACAATGGGTGGATGGATGGATTGTGATAAGAATTGTATGAGTCCCTGATAAAATGATTTTTTAAAAATGTCCTTAGCAAACAAAGGGTCATATATAAAACAGCATAATGGGTAGATCATATATTCACCATACCTAATTCTACTCTGTGTTGTAAATTTCAAATCTATTCCTTTATCTTTGACCTTACCTGTTGAGGGACTATGGACTCACTGCCTAGTGCTCTAGTGACCACAACGTTGCCTCATAGACTTTCTCCCTGCTCGCAAATCTGCCCAGCGCTCTCTTTTATCTTGATGAGATGCTGGTCTGGTGGCCACGGCTTTGGTGTTAGGCTACTAGCTAACCACAAGGTCTGTCGAGGCTCAGACTCCCAGGCACTCAGCGAGCAAGAAAAGGCTCAGCTCCCAGTTTCAGAAACCCTATACAGGTTGTATAGTTCTTGATGTGATTGAACTATTGAATTGTATGCTCTGTGAATTATATGCCAATAAAACGGGAAGGAAGGCAGGAAAGAAGACAAGAAGAAAAAGAGGGGGGAGGGAAGGAAGGAAACCCTATACAGAGTCACTATGAGTCAGAAACAACTCCAGGTCAAGTTTTTGGTTTTTGATTTAGTGTCCCGGGAAATCCCTCCCGGTGGCAGTTCGTTTAAAAATACTTGTCAATAGCCTCAGTGCGGCAAATCGTATCTAATCCTTGATGGCCTGTCCACCTCCAGTTCTCTGTGCCCTAACACCCAGGGACAGAGCCAGAAAGTATGTGCGGGGAGAATATGCGTAGTCAGCACCGTTGCCAGCAGGATACGTGGGCAAATTAAAGAAGTTCCTCGCACGGATCACCTCCAAGTGTTTCTGGAAACAACCTGGGATCCTTGGCACAGAACGAAACACTACAAACACGCGTAACTCCACACCGAAATTACCCATGGCCCCTGGTCTGCCCTGGGCGCAAAGGGGGCAGGTAAAAGCTGGCCGGTTGTTTTTAAAGCGCTTTGGCCCAGCTGCAAAGCGGGCGGAGTGGTCTTGGCCCACGTGGACCTCGAGGTGGCCTGATTACTGAGATGCCGAAACCGTGCAGCTGCCGAGGCTTGCCGGCCCCCCAGGAATACTTAAAGACCCGCAGCCAATGCGGCGCCTCGGCCCGCGGGATTGGCGGC